TGTATAAACGACCTGATAGCTAGATCAGTAGATCTACGGAAAGGTTTTCCGCAAAGGTGTTCGAGTCCCTACCAGGCTGCACATTTTTCTCGCCCTGTGACACATGACCGGCATGTTGACGTCTTTGACCTTACTGTAAATGATCTCCCTTTTAAGATACAAGGTCTCACTATATATTGATCATCTCGTTGAAATGAAAGATAACAGCGTATATTTTCTAAATGTATATTGATTAACTCGTTAAATTAAAATATATTACTGTATTTTCACTGTAGTATCTCACTGTACATTATCTAGCTGTATTTTGAGTATCTCGTTAAAATGAAAGATATCACAGTGATGTGTATATAATCTCACTGTAAATTATCTCGTTAAAAATCATAGCAATGTATATTATCTCACTGTATGTTATCTAATTGTATACTGATCATCTCGTTAAAATGAAAGATATCACTGTATAATATCTCACTGTATATTATCTCGTTAAAAAATGAAATATATCACAGTATATTATATCACTGTATATTATCTTGATAAAAATGAAAGATATCACAGTGATGTATATTATTTCACTGTATATTATGTAACTGTATATTGATCATGTCGTTAAAATGAAAAATATCAAGATATACTATCTCACCGTATATTATCTCGTAAAAAATGAAAGATATCACAGTGATGAATATTACCTAATTGTACATTATCTAACTGTATACATTGTATATTGATCATCTCGTTAAATTGAAAAATATCACTGTTCATTATCTAACTGCATATTTATTATCTCGTTAAAATTAAATACATGTAAATCACTGTATATCTCACTGTATATTATGTACCTGCTTAGATTGGAATACATTGTGAATAATCAGTCTGTTATGTAAATAAGCGTCCTGTTAAGTTCTTTGATCATATCATCTGTCGGTAAATATCTATGTTTTACTGTAGATAATAGACTATCATCCTGTTTTCCATTGGACGTAAATGACCTGTTAAAGTTTTTGACCTACAATATATGGCCGGTCTGTAAAGGTAGAAGATCGCACTGTGTATATGGTCGGCATGTTAAGGCAGAAGATCGCTCTGTGTAAATGGTGGGTTTGTTAAGACAGAAAATCGCTCTATGTATATGGTCGGTTTGTTAAGACAGGATATCGCTCTGTGTAAATGGTCGGTTTGTTAAGACAGAATATCGCTCTGTGTAAATGGTCGGTTTGTTAAGACAGAAGATCGCTCTGTGTAAATGGTCGGTTTGTTAAGACAGAATATCGCTCTGTGTATATGGTCGGTTTGTTAAGACAGAAGATCGCTGTGTGTAAATGGTCGGTTTGTTAAGACAGAAGATCACTCTGTGTAAATGGTCGGTTTGTTAAGCCAGAATATCGCTCTGTGTAAATGGTCGGTTTGTTAAGCCAGAATATCGCTCTGTGTATATATGGTCGGTCTGTAAAAGCAAATCGCTCTGTGTATATGGTCGGTTTGTTAAGCCAGAAGATCGCTCTGTGTATATATGGTCGGTCTGTAAAAGCAAATCGCTCTGTGTATATGGTCGGTTTGTTAAGCCAGAAGATCGCTCTGTGTAAATGGTCGGTTTGTTAAGCCAGAATATCGCTCTGTGTATATATGGTCGGTCTGTAAAAGCAAATCGCTCTGTGTATATGGTCGGTTTGTTAAGCCAGAATATCGCTCTGTGTAAATGGTCGGTTTGTTAAGCCAGAATATCGCTCTGTGTATATATGGTCGGTCTGTAAAAGCAAATCGCTCTGTGTATATGATCGGTTTGTTAAGCCAGAAGATCGCTCTGTGTATATATGGTCGGTCTGTAAAAAGCAAATCGCTCTGTGTATATGGTCGGTTTGTTAAGCCAGAAGATCGCTCTGTGTAAATGGTCGGTTTGTTAAGCCAGAATATCGCTCTGTGTATATATGGTCGGTCTGTAAAAGCAAATCGCTCTGTGTATATGGTCGGTTTGTTAAGCCAGAATATCGCTCTGTGTAAATGGTCGGTTTGTTAAGCCAGAATATCGCTCTGTGTATATATGGTCGGTCTGTAAAAGCAAATCGCTCTGTGTATATGGTCGGTTTGTTAAGCCAGAAGATTGCCCTGTGTATATATGGTCGGTCTGTAAAAGCAAATCGCTCTGTGTATATGGTCGGTTTGTTAAGACAGAAGATCGCTGTGTGTAAATGGTCGGTTTGTTAAGACAGAAGATCACTCTGTGTAAATGGTCGGTTTGTTAAGACAGAAGATCGCTCTGTGTATATACGGTCGGTCTGTAAAGGCAGATTGCTGGTCTCAGTCTTCGTCTGTTTCAATCTTGTCCTACTTTAATATAACAACTAAATGTATATGGTTGGTTTGTGATGTGGCATGTTTTCTTAAACGACTTGCTAATGAAGTTTAAAAATCGTGAATTCGCGAAGCTGAAATAGTGATTTCCTGAAGATGAAATCGAAAATTCGTGAAGTTGAAATTGTAAATTCATAAAGTTTGAAAATCGTGAATTCGTGAATTTATCATGAAGGTGAAATCGCGAATTAAAAAATTCATGAAGTTGATATCGTAAAGTTGAAATCATGAATTCATGAAGTTGAACTCGTGAATTCATGAAGTTGAAATCGCGAGTTCGTTTTAAGTTTAACTCATGAATTCATAGAGTTGAGTTCGTGAAGTTGAAATCGTGAATTCATGAAATTGAAATCGTGAATTCATGAAGATGATATCGTGAAATCATGAAGTTGAAATGTCCCCACAAGTTTTTCATATTTATTACATGATTGAATGCTGAAAACATATTCGGTGTAATACTCTTTTAATAAACTTAAAGATAAAATACATGCTTCGGCTTATTGAGGGAGAGACATACAAAATTTTATCTTTTAAATAAGTAACTGAATTTCTTTGTCTGTTTAATGTTCATTGGTAGCAATGGTTCTAAAAAGAAGAATAACTTTTTAAAATTATTATTGATGTTATGTGACCAGGAGAAAATGAGGTCAATGTATAATATAAACCGCATAAAAACTGGCTATTCATAAGTATATAGTTCCTTTCACAGTTTACCTAACTCTATTTACGTACATGCTGAAGCTACGGGGCAGGTTTATATACAAATGAGAAGTTATGTAAATATCTTAGCTTTAAAGCTAAGTGGTGTAATATACAAAACCTTTCTATTTCAATATTGCATATTTAATTTACACGTACATTTGTTTACTCTGCTTTTAAAATGAATTTATAGTTGTTTATAGTTTTGAAAACTGATAAAAATCAACTTATGATGATATACTATTTTAAGATTTGAGGGCGGATAAATTGTCCTAGTTCATACAAAGTATAGTACGATATCTTTTAACAACATTTTTCTTTAAAAAGAAAGCATTACACCCCCGTTATTTTAAATAAGGAAAAGAAAAGAAATAGACGAGAAAAAAACACACAAAAAACAACAACACTGCAACAAAAACAGAACAAAAAAGAAACAAAACAAAAACAAAACAACCCTACCCGGAAGAAAAATAAACAACAACAAAAACATGCAAGGTTCAAATATCTATACAATTAAAAAAAGGTGTCATGCCCGAGATTAAAACCATTTTTAACCGTCTTAAAACCCCCTTAAAACCCCGAACCAGATACACTTACATACTTGGTATATTTCATGATGATAAAGATATTGTACACACCTTTTATAGATATTTAAAACCCAATTATCCTTATAAGTAATAAGCTTTCTTTTATTTCTCTAAAGTTTTTTTGTAAAGAGGTCACAACACAAACACAACTTTGCCTACGTTTTGATACTTTTATGACGAATATTATCACATTCAGTGCTACTTTCAGTTCCTTGCGAAAGTGGAGGCAACTAGTACTTGTAAACTGCTTGGAAGCCTGCCCAGGAAAGGTACGGTGGCTGAACTACCACCACCACCACCACCAATGTTTTAACACGGCTACCACCACTACGACTGTTCGACTACGACTTAAGAAAAAAACTTTGCAATGTTTAAAAACTGCTATTATCGACGAAGTTGTTGCGCATGAGAGAAAGTTTAAACACCATTTTTTACTCTATTTTTTTCTCTCTTTCTTGCGTGGACAAATTGCAAATTTTAGCTTGCATTTTAGTTCATATGGCAAATCATAGAGTTTGTTATGAAACGTTCGAACAAAGCATATTTTCTCCGTGACAAATAATGTTTATTGTCTAATACTTCTTACATAAAATCATGAAAGGTAAGTAAGCGATGGTAATAACTGGACCGATTGCTGAAATATGTGGTATTATGTTAAATCGGCGAAAAGATAAAAACAAACAAACACTGGCGCCCTACTTCGTGCGTTTTCAGTAAGCATATGGAGTTTGTAAGCTGCGTTTATGCGGGCGGCATTATTACGGCGTTTACTTTCAACCTTATGGGGTATTCAGTACAATCTTAGGGTGTGTAGTATGACTGCAGCGATCATGGCGTTCATGAGACCTCCTCATAATGACTCTACGGCGATTTTGAGGTATCTAAAGAAAGTACGTTCTTAGTACGTGATTAGGATGTTCCTGTGGTTACTATCTTGACTAGAGGATCCTAGAACGTTCTAGTCCTGGACGCACCGTGAACGCCGATCGTCGGTGGTTTCTTTTCTTTTCTTTTTGCATGATCAAAAAGTCGCCGTGGCTCGGTGTTCTGGGACAATAAAGGGGTAATCAAAGAGATTTGGGTGTCTCCCAACTCGAACCTACGCAGTCCATGGTGTTTCCTATGAGACCCCTGGAAGCATTTAGGTCCCAAGTTCGATGTGACTGGGGTATAAGCTATATACGTCGTAAGCTGTATACGATGAAACAAGGCCCGTAATACAATAGCATACGAATTGCCCTGATACAGATTACACGAATTCATCTTAATGTGGTGATTTTTTTTTCAAATCGTCGAGTTTTAGAAGTTTGAGAACTGTGTGGTGTACGTTTATTTTGAGCATAGGATTAAACATAACAAAATTACTTATTTTGAATAAGTTGTTTATCTAAATCAAAAAAAGAGTGACAGTAAACAAAATCAAAACAGACGCCATGCCGAAAACGAAGAACGGACGTTAAAGTCATCACTCAGAACATTTCCGTTACCACTATCAACGCTTCGCACCCGGACGAACACGTTATAACCAGCACTGACATGTGCCACGACAAAAGCCGTCGCTGGATGTACCCCACTAACAGACACGTCGCCTTTGTCCGAATCTGACGACAGAACGCCTATTACAGACCCACGTGCAATGAGCTCTGTAACGATCCTTTGACCTTGAGACGGGACAGTGATGGTCCAAGTGAAAACGTAGACTCCGGACACGGGGGTATTGAATATACCATCTACTGAAGTGTAGCCTGACTTTTCATTCACCGTGTATCTGTCGAAGATAATTATCTCGTGGTTGCTATAGTGACGAGATGAGCTGAGGTAGGCGTGGAACGCGACATATCCGGCAGAAACTCCTGAAAAAGATATCCAATCGTTTAATAGTACATGTGCCGGTCAAAAAAAGAGACCAAAACATATCAAGTAAGCGACGACATCGGTTATTTTACAATAAACATGAGACAATATATATATTTGGTAAATGCCCATTATGTCTAAGAAATACCTTTTTTTATTTCTCAAAATATTTTTATTGTTTGGTTTCTTTCATAGCCTACAACAAGTTTCTCGTTGGCCAATTGTCTGAACTGTCTTCTTCCAATGTTGCTTTTTGGCAATTAGTACATTTATATTGATTTAGTATTTTGTATGTTAGATTATCTGTTTTGTTTACATTTCGCTACTTTTATGACATATTTTTTCATATAGCGATATTTTAGTGTGGTAACAAGTATCATATATATGCTCTAAAACCATAATTTAAACGTTATAAAACTCTGACCTTTCTTAAGACGTAAATATTTATTCATTTCAAATTTTCCTTTAAAAATGCATAAAGAAATATGTAAAAACTTGAAGGCAACAAACTTTTCGATACACGCTTCTCCAACGATGCCGGGGAATGTTTTAGATCGTAGCTATTCTTCTGTTCTTCAGTTTCTGATCGTTGTTCTGGATCCGCTACATTTGATAAAGCTTCACTCAAATCTGACACGCTTTCCTCAAGAACATTTAGTTTCTCTTTAAACACTACTTGGTCCATGATATGCTCATTAACAAGCTTTTCTAATCTCTTTAAACGAGCATCGATGTCACAATGACCGAATGAAAAACCACCAAACAGAAATAATAAACAAAATATTATTTTCATTTTTTATGCACTCTGTTTCCCCTAATAAATTGTTACAAAGATCTAAAAGAAAATTAACACTATTAGGTGAGATTCGAGCGCGACAGTACACAAAGGTTCTGATAACCTTCGTTACAAGTTCAATGCAAGACATGTAAAATAATGTATACCTACAGACATTGCTGATATAAGAAGACGGTATTTTCAGTACGCCCGCATGTCACACGTTGAGCATTGCCGTCAACACAAATCACGTGACTTCCAGTCTTGCACAGAAAAGGATCATTAAATGGATCACTTGCAGACTTTTGAAATCTGTAATTGTATTTGCCTTCCTTATGCTTCGATGTAGAGATAAGCATGTTTTAAGATCAATTTCACGTGAATTCATGCTATGGTAAAACCAATGTCACGTTACAAGCGGGGACTGACCAAGATAGAGCGACCGATTGGACACCGTTGATAATTTGAGATAGGAGAGAAATATTTCAAATATGCCCTGGAAGAAGGTGGTTGACATTCATCCTTTGTGGTCCGATGGTTTCCGAAGGGTTCTCGCCCGGTCACCTGGTGAATACTTTGGCATCTTCTTTCTGGACATCGTTCAATATTCTTAAGGTAATCGGCTGATTACCATATGATGAATATCCAATTATCGACCGTTATCCGACCGTTTTGCAACCATCGTACTGAACATCGTACAGTAAGGTATACGGACAAATGTCGTGAGATATCTATTCAGTTCGGACGATATTAGTATGGCATGTCCCTTTCTCTTCTTCTTCAGAACGTTCTTCTCTCTTCCACCTTCTGCTGGCCTTTTCTTGCCTTCTTCACCTCTGACTTCTTTCCCTTCCTTTCTTTGCTGGCTGTTTTGGAAGGCATAATCACTTTGAAAGCAAAGTTATCTATTGCGGTTGAACCCATTAAGAGAAATCAATCGAGCTATTGCTACAATCAGTCATTTACTAATAGGGCAATACAACGATTTGAACGTAAAGAGTGTACTGAACTTGACATTGAGTCTAAATAGCATTGACTTTAAAGATCAAATAATTGAATTTGGCTCGATTTCGCTAAATCTGGCTTTACCTGAGTCATTTATTTATTGGTTATCTTCATACTTGGACACAACAACCTTTACGAAGAATAAACTAAATTTGACTTTGACTTTGCTCCTTGATTTTGCTACAATTGGCTATAAATGTGTTATTAATGAAAGGTCGTCGTGTTACTTAATCGAGTACTTAAAGAAGCCAAATAGATTTGACTTTTACTCATAATGACATTGCCCTGAAATTGAACTTTGTTACACTCAATTTTAATCAGTTATTGTAATTAATAGTTAAATTGTCTTTATTCTAGAATAAACCACATTTTTGCAATACCTTTAAAATACTTGAACTACTATTTTGTATTGACCTTTATTTGACCTTGACCAAAATATGCTTAAATGGCCCGAACCTTGTTATTAATGGATGTATCTGTTTGAATCATTCCTGTATGACATTGACCTTAAAATGGCTTAACCATAAATGTATTTTTTATTGAATTATGCTTTAATTGTTGTACATGTAATCTAAACGGATTTAAGTCAGCCTTAATTGGGCACATCAGCACTTATAACAAAAACCGTCATGTTAAAGTATTACTCATGGCCTAAGTGTTCGTTTAGTTTATATTCGCACACATGTATCGTGCACGACTTGCTCTCTGCAGACTAGTATCGTGCCACGAATGTATCTGGCACGTTTGCTATTCGTGCACGACTTAATCTGCACAATGACTCGTGCAGATAACAAAATACACACAGTCCTTCCCGTAGTATAATACTGTTAAAGTTATATAAGTATGTGCGTCTGAACAAAGATGTATAGTTGGTCTGGTCACATACTTTATTGTTGTCCCGTGTAACAGTTTGTACATACACGCATCTCAGTGATGATCGTTTGTTACCTGCGGCATATACTAAAGTATTCCATACATACTGGATACAATAGAAAGAGCATCGAAACACGAAGCTAACTGATTTGTATTAATAAGTATAAATTAGATTGCTGTGTGTTTTGATGGATGTTCTTTCTCTTTTGTTTCATAAGTCAAAATAAAAGAAAATTTCCCTCTCGTCCCAGAAAAAGTAACCAATGTACGAGGATCTTGATATGATATTCCTATCGCGCCGACCTCAGAAAAAAAATGAACTTAACAATGTGTATGCTCTAGAGTGCGGGTAACTAACTCTGACACATTTCAGAAAGGTCCCAGAACATTATCTAGATAATGTGGTATGTACGTTATATAAACCAGGGGTAAGCGACGATGTTCAGTGATATATTTTCAAGTTCATATTACGTGATACCTCAAAATAAGTCTTCATTTTTTGTTATCTTTCCGCGTTTCAAATAGGTGATTATTGTATTTTTAAAGTGGACAGACTTTTAACTATTAAGTTGGTTATTGGAGCCCACTACTTGTCTTGTATTTGGGAGGATTTTGGTAAAGATCATAATATTACTGTTTTTTATACGAATACGGCAATTGTATGTTTTCATTTCTTTGCTATCTTTCAAATATGTTTTAATTCTTTAGGATGTATATGTTTGTTTATTCAATATACGAGTTACACAAACGTTACATTGGAAATCACAACGCTCAATACAGTTGCCAGCCCGAAAAAGTTGACCTGACTGAGTTGGAATCACTATAGACGTTGACGCAGTTACTATAAGAGTGTCGAACTCGGATGTAGCAATGGTCTGCCGCATTCATTTGTGCAACCACAACTGCAGTCGCTGGATGCAAGCCAGTACCTGTATGGTCTACACCACTTGGCGTGTCAGAATCGGTCGTTATCACGCCGGCCAACCTCCCACCAATTACAAGCTCTGTTCTAAACTTTGTGTTCAAAGGTGCGACCACAGTCCACGTGAAGACAAATATACCGGATACGGGCGGTTCAAATATGCCGTCTCTGACGTCATACACGTTGTAATCGTCCTGACTCTCTGTATCAAACACGATTTTCTCATGGTCGTCGTAACAATTTGTAATGCTTCGATAGGCATGGAAAGCTCTATTGGAACCCGCAGCACCTGTGTATATAAAATATTACTTTTCTGTAAATAAGAAGTATTTGTGCCCTCTAAGGCGACTTTACATGAACGCACATTAATAATAATATATCAAATATAATTAATCCTTAATAAACAGAATCAAGCTTATGCATGAAATTTGATATATCGTCTACAAAACTGAGCAGAAATTTGTACTTTTATGTTATCATGGTCTCTGAAACCTTGAAAGGCCAGATAGAAAAAAATCAAAACAAAATATAATAAATGTATTGATAAAATAAGTATACGAACGTTTAAGCAACTGATGTGTCTGTCCTATTTCTGCATTAGAACTAGAAACGCCCCTTGTCTTAATCAGATTGTCTTCTTTTTCTTGGGCAACGATCTCAGACACTTCAAGCTCTAGTGCTTTCAGGCGTTCTTGCATCATCTCATTTTCCGCAAGTTGGTCTTGTACCTCATTCTCTAAATCGAAAACTCGTTCTTCAATATTCGCTGAAGAACAAATTATTCCACATATAAGAAAAAATAAAGTTACTTTAATCCCCATTCTTGTTCAATTTTAAAACAACTTATAATAAATGGATTTATAATTGGAATGATGTTTCACGATATTGGCGAGAATTCTGTCAATTGAGTACAACAAATGTTCATATATGCATATTGTCATTAGAAAGGTTACGTAATTTGGCGAGACTTTGATAAAAGTTGACAATCTGAACTTGTACTTATAGTACATGAAAGTGTGGTTTGTCAAACATTTGAGAAAAAAATGTTTTAGATAATGCCTAAGAAACGAATACTTTTTTTTCTTCAATAAAAAAGGGCAAACATGAGTTTTACTGTAATAAAGTAATGGTTTTATAGCATGTTAAATGCTAATCATTACAAGCAAATAAAGCGGGTTGTGAAATTAATTGTGATAAAGGTAGCAAAATAAAAAAATATACTGTTTTGACTTCCGCGCTTATACTAAATTACTATACATTGTAATTTTACTAGTTGCCAAAATGCAATAGAAGGAAATGATAGTTTTTCTTTCTACCAGATGTTCAACATAATCACGCATACATGCAAACATAATCAATTGAAAACTACAAAGTACGCTTGATTGAAATGAAAAGAAATCTATATATTTTATTAGTAAAAGTCACCCTTGATATATAATAGAAGATATTTAATATAAAAAGAAGAAAAAAATCGGAAATCTTGTTTATTCCTTATCATGGAAAGAAAACGAAAAGCACTGTGTTTAGAAACAAAGTATGATATTTTATGAGAAATTGAGAAATGGAGTAAAACTAAAACTGAATGACAAAGGATTTTCAAATTCCCAAAAGTACGTTCTCGGGTATTGTGTCTTAATTGAAATAAATGACTAATTTTTCTTAATCAAATGCTTTGCAAAATGGCGGACGATGGTAAACAATCAGTTCGTTATATGTAAATCTGTTCGCTATAAATACTCCTGATACAAGGAACTAATTCGCTATATGCTTACAAGGAACTCCGGATATAAGGAACAGATTTGAATGTCCCAATGAGTTCGTTATAATCGAAGTTTACTGTATAGTCAATTCAGCTCAACTTGGCAATGAAAATTTGAGCATAATATGTTATACGTTATAAAACTTATGTATCTCACCTTTGTGCAATAACGTAATAAGTGCTTCTAAATTTATTAGCGGTTTGTCAGTGATTGTACTAAGGTAACGGTATGATCATTCTATGAAAGGAATAATAATTTCTTGCATTGCAAACTGGCGTTTTCGTGTGTTTTATCCATGCCGGAAATTTCATCTGGCATGGGGGTGCCAGATGAGTCGCGTGCTGTACAATGGCACGCTTAGGATGACGTCATTTTACCGTTATGAATGAAGTTGCAATTTCATACGCTGTTGTAAGAAAATAGTTACGGCTGTAATGATATAAATTTGCGTTGAAAATTAAGATAAAGAATTTAAAATATAATGGAATATTTTAGAATATGCAAGAAAAAATATCTGACATATGTTCGCGGTTCGGATCGGAATATCCGTCCCTCGGTAACCCGCCCATGGACGGTAACTCGGCAAGCCTCGTTACCGTCCGATGGAAACGCCAGTGTGACATGCAAGAAATTTTTATTTCTTTCTGTCGCATAATGAGTCTTTAATATTACCATTATACATTTACGTGTATAACACAGCTATTACTATCTAGACTGAGAGAATTATAAATGCCGATTTTACAAAGGGTAGAATTAACAAAAACGTTGCCGTATTAACTTGGATATTTGCAAAAGCGCATTATCAATATGTATTTCTGTTGGACTGTTGTTTGTCGCAAATTTGTCGTTTTGCACAATCCCATACAACACGCATTGTTCACAATGCAGACTTTATTCCAATTAAATTAAGTTTTTAAAAAATCTGGATAAAGTGTGATCCCTCGGAAGCCTTAGTCACAACAAATTTCTTTAATGTTGCAGTGCGTCTGCTCATGAGGGATAACGATAAACAGCAAAACCTCTCACGCCCCATAGCACCGGATGGAGCGGTACACGATTTTTAACACTTAAAAGTGCTGGAACCAATGAACCAGTGATCCCGAAGGACCAGAAAAATATACCAATACTGAACACTATAAGCTGTATTGTCTCGTTAACAAGGTTCCAAATCATAACCCCAAATAAACAACAAATTAAGAAAGCATTTTCAATCATATATGTCATAGTAGTGAGGCACATATCTAATTTGTGTTTGTGTCGTTTTCTTTAGCAATCCCTACACCAGATATACGCATTGTGAATGTTCCAGTCCACCTGACAAACTTCATTGTCATATTACTGTTTTATTTGACATTATGGGAAGTTCTCCGATGATCTCACAGTCATCGTAACGATATCGAAATAAACATTGTGGGGTATACGATAAATTAATTTCTTTTATATCGAATATATTGCTGTAAAATTTTAAAGATGAAATAATAATGGGTATATTTTAAATACCGGTAGTCAACTCTGTATAAAAACATCATTATTTATGTGAATAAAATAATATGTGTTATAACCTTCTGCATTTCAACTTTTCTCTTGGTATTGTATACATTTATTTTTCTGCTTTAGACATGCCGTCAGTTTGGTAGTTATGCAAAGACTTAATGTTCTAGTTATAAATATTTTAAGACGAAACACAATGTCAGTATTATTCTTGTCATGTAATGTCACCGCGTTGATTCATTTTGTATTTATATTGTTATATCGAAAATGAATGTTAAAAAATCTTTTCACCTTGGAGTCCGACAATCATTTCACAAGTATCAGATCTAATAGAGGGTTGATGCACATTTGTTTCCATTGATTAACATCTGTAGAAGCACGGTGAGGCGTTTCAAGCACGAGCCGAAAAAGGTTCATAGGCGCTATTGTATCTCTACCATTTGGTTCGTTTTTTCTGTCTAGTCATTTGTTTTTTTTATAAAGAGACCGATATTATTAAGACTTTTAGCTTTCCATGTGTTTAAGCAATCATACACGGTACCTCTATTTTAGGTCTCAGCCGAGAGACTGCTTAATAATTTTAGTTGGACGGCGCGGGATATCGAGAATACAAGTCTCGCGAGGCCAATGTAGCCACCGCATCCTTCAGCCATTACAGTGGTACAGTGCGCTAGACCGTAGAAAGAATTTCATAACGTGACCTGTCCGAGAATCAAAACCATCGTCTTATTCACAATCCGGGTCCAAGCCTATAACCTGCTGAATCGCTTTCGGTGAGCACCCGGAAACCGCTGGGAAAGCGGCTGATTATTTAGCACCAATATTGTGAAAATTGGATAATGATATATAGGTAACACCGATTGTAATAGATAAATACAGTTTATGCCAGTACTACTTGAACATGGTATTGACCTTTATTTTGATATTGACCCAATTTGCTAAAATTGCTCAGAACTTTGTAATAAATGGATGCATCTAAAATGACGACAAAACAGCACTTTTGACAAACCAATTTGTTGAATTATTCATGAATTAATGGCCATGATCGTATAATTATTGTCTTTTGCTTAAATTGAATTTTGCTTAAATTGGTCATTACTTTGTATTTTATACGATTTTAAGTCACCCTTGGGCACATCAGCACTTACAACGAAAATAGTGACGTTCATATATAACTTCCATCGGATGCTTGTGGTGGTTTCGGTGAGCAGCATGGCAATTGATAGATCCTACTCTGACCTTTTACCTGAATAGCAATAGATTTAACCACAAACATTGACATGTGCTCTTTTGTTTACAAAATGTTGTGGTGAAATTCTTATTGTATCCAATAATCTGATAATTAGAAAAAAGGCAAGCCAGGGATCTGTGCATTACTTCAGTAGAGTCGGGCAGATTTATTACTCAAGTTGTTATTTGTCGCCCACGACTTTTCTTGTACTTGGAAGGATTTTGTTTAAGATCATAATTTTACTAGTTTTTATCTTAATACGGCAATTGTATGTTTTCATGTTTTTTTTTGTTGTTGTTTTTTATTTCGTTTCAATTTTTTTTTAAGTCTTTAGAATGTATTTATTGCTTTATTCAATATAGTTACACAAATGTTACATTGGAAATCACGACGCTCAATACAGTTGCCAGCCCGAAAAAGTTGACCTGACTGAGTTGGAATCACTGTAGACATTGACGCAGGTATTAGAAGAGTGTCGAACTCGGATGTAGCAATGGTCTCCCGGGTTAATTTGTACAACCACAACTGCAGTCGCTGGATGCAATCCAGTACCTGCATTGTGTACACCACTTGTCGTGTCAGAATCTGTCGTTATCACGCCGGCCATTCTTCCACCAATGATAAGCTCTGTTATAAACTTTGTGTGCAAAGGCGCGACCACAGTCCACGTGAGAACATATACACCGGATGCCATCGGTTCAAAGATGCCGTCTCTGACGTCATACACGTTGTAATCATCTTGCCTCTCTATATCAAACACGATTTTCTCATGGTCGTCGTAACAATTTGTAATGCTTCGATAGGCATGGAAAGCTCTATCGGAACCTGCAGCACCTGTGAATATAAAATATAACTTTTCTGTAAATAAGAAGTATTTGTGCCCTCTAATGGCGACTTTACATGAGCACACATTTATAATAATATATCAATTTCAATTCTTAATGTGGAGTACAATAGGTTCACTCGATATTCTCCACAATATAATTTATCATATGTCCTTCTATACATAAATTTCCTGTATTATTACTGATTAGTCCTGTATAATGATTACTGATTGGACAGAAAGGAAAGTCTTTATTGAGAAGCTGCGTCACATTACACTCCGATTAGGTTTACGATGGGGTACCGATGTCTGAACGGGCTGAAATTGCCAATTTTTTAAAGGTCTCTGGCCGGTGATCCTCCGGTGTCAAGTGACCGGTGGGCACCGTACAGGTAATCGCAGAATTTTAGTGCAGAATTATTTTCTTCCGGCATCCGGTACATCGCCAGCTTACCGTAGCAGACGCGGTAAAACCCTCCGATACCCGGCCGAACACCTTTTGTTATCGGTTACATACCGGTTAAAATTTTCACCTCCTTGGCGCCAAATATTCCTCCAGTTTCCGAGCGGTATATGAGCGACAACCGAAGGCGTCTCGACAGGTTACTGACCAAGGCCCGGATGGACGCAGTACGTTGCACGTATGGCCCTAAGGTGCCCGAAAGGATAGCGTTAGGGTTATTAAACAGACCTTACGGCAGGTAAAGCCTTGGACTGTGAATTAGGCGACCCGTGTTCAATTCTTGGACAACGGTGAAGGTCACTTTCGTTGTACAGAAGTTATCAGTACCTTGCAAAGTGAAAGAGATTATTACTGTTTAACTGTTTGACAGACTGTCCAGGAACGATACGGTGACTGAACTGTGCTCTGGTATGTATATTGAAGTTGGCTTACTGCCATAGTCATCACGGTAAATCATAAATACCACCATCATTCTCTCATTAGCAAGCGTGCAGAGCGGAATCGGTTAAATCGCAAGATTTTGAGGGTTCGATTCCCGGGATGACCAACTGAAATTACTAGGAATCTTTCGGACGAGATTTTAAAGCAAAGTCCCGTGTATGAGTGCTTAAACACTAGGATATGTAAAGAAGGAGAATATTGTTTGGTGTACTGCTTGGCTCCTTTACGGTGGTCATCCTGTGTTGCTGGATAGTGTCGTGGACCTTACGTTCATTGAACGCCGCCGCCTTCCTTATTGATCTTGTTTTTCATATTTTGCTGAAATTGTGGCATCTTGCTATCTGTATCTTGCGCTGTCCTCCAAAATCTAAAACGACTAATACTCTTCTAGAGGGCTCGCCTATACGGGCATCCGATGGCGAGTATTAAGAAACTCAATTACACACACATATTCTCTCAGTTTTCCGAACGTCAGAGGTTTCTTAAAGTTTTCAAATTTTATTTACAATCTTTTATGGAAAACTTTGATTTCAGAGTGTAATATACCATCAAAAACAGAAAGTAAACAAGAGAAGGAGAGGAAATCAGAGGGGAAGAAGGCAAGGAAAATTGCCAACAAAAGAGGGGTGTGAATAACGGCCGGAAAATGGGATAGCATGCCATACGAATACCGTCCGACAGCCGACCAGATATCGCACGTATACTTTACTGTTACCGTACGATTGTTGCAAACAGGCCAGATAATGGAAGGCAATTGGACATTTATCATACGGTAGTTCGCCGGTTTCCTTTAGAATATCGACCGGTGTCCAGAAAGAAGATGCCAAGGGTTTTCACCGGGTGACCGGGTGAGTACCTTTCGGAAACCGTCTAAATACCTAATGGACCACAGAGGGAGAATGACCGCCCACTTCTTCCCGGACTTGATTGAAATGTTGCTCCCCCATCTCAAATTATCAACGGTGTCCCATCGATCCCTCTATATCGGCCGGCCCCCGCTTGTAATGTGACGTAGGCATAATCTATCTTCCAAACCAAAAACAAACGCAGCAATGTAGACACAGTAGTGGAAAAATGTTGTAAAATAACAAAATCAATCCTTAAAGTATTTTGGTTTAAACATATTTATTTAAGCTTGGTTGCGAAAGAAGTTCTTGCAACGTATATTAATCACTTTACATGTCGCTTCCTGAAACCATTATTATTTAACCGTATTAAGTGCATTGGGTAAAAATCCACTAGGATTTCTAAAATGTGTCATATGTTGAATGCTCTATACGTGTCTGCAATCTGAAATCTTCTACTTACATTTAAGCATTAACTTGTACTTTTATGTTATAGCACATATTATGTGTCTGTGAAATCTTGAAAAGAGAGAGAGAAAAATTCATAACAAAACTATAATAAATATAATAAGAAAATAAGAAAACGAACGTTTAAGCAAATGATGCGCCTGTCCTACTCCTACAATAGAACTAGAAACGTCCTTCTCCTCAATCGGACTTTCTTCCTTTTCTTTGGCAACGAGCTCAACCACCTCAAGCTCGAGAGCTTTCAGGCGATCTTTCATTATCTCATTTTTTGCAAGTTGATCTTGTACCACATTCTCTAAATCGAAAACTCGTTCTTCAATATTCGCAGAGGAACAAACTATTCCACATATAAGAAAGAATAAAGTTGTGTTCATCCCCATTCTTGTACAATTTTAAAACAACTTAAAATAAATGGATTTATAATTGGAATGCCGTATCACGATTTTGTTGTGAATTCTGTCAATTGAGTACAACAAATTTTCATATATGCATAATGTCATTGGAAAGGTTACGTATTTTGTCGAGACTACGATAAAAGTTGCCAATCTGAACTTGTACTTAGTGTACGGGTTAGTGTGGTTTGTCCAACATTTGTGAAAAAAAAAGTTTTAGATAAAATGCAACGAATTTAAAGTCACATTATGCCTAAGAAACGAAAAGTTTTTTCCCTTCAATATAAAAGTGCAAACATGGGTTTTACGGCAATAAAATAATGGTTTTGGAGCAGGTAATAGGTTAATCACCTCAAGAAAAAATAAAGCGAAATATGAAAGTATTTGTTATAAAGGAGGCAAAAAATAAACAAATTACTATTTTGACTTCCGCTTATACTTAATCACTATAAATAGTATTTTTATTAGTTGCAAAAATGCAACAGAAGCAAAAGATAGTTTAGGTAATTGGTCATTAAGTACGTTTTTGAAACTATGACAGAACACAGGAATTAAAAAGCGTTTGAGAAATGAAAATAAAAGCATTTCATGGGCATAGTGGGCCTTTAATCATAAACCAAAAGAAATATAATTTCAACATTTAACACTAAAATTGTCATTTATGAAATTAAAAGTGATATATTCCTTGTTCCATATATCAGTTGAAGATAAGTTTTCGTTTTTGAATTTTATACGTCAGCCCTGATATTTTTTAACCTTTTAAAAGCGTTTTTGGTTCTTGCTGTACTGTATATACATGTATTATAACTTATAACAGTACATGTAACAAATAAAATAAACACACTTTGTACCGTTATTTTACATGAACGTTTACCATACATAATTGACTCTAGCAAAATGGTTATGTACACGTTCATACACCGTACAAATACTTGAAACGCTGGTTCCTTGTTTTAAGGCCCATTATGCCCCAAATATGCCTTTTATTATATTTCTCAAAAAGCTTTTCATTTTATTTCTCAGAAACCTTTCCCTTTTTTCTGTGTCCTGTCATAGTTTCCAAATAGTTACTTGTTTGCCAATGACCTGAACCATCTTTTAATCCTGTTGCTTATTAACAATAAATACAGTTAAAGTAGATTAGTGTTTTGTATGGATGTCAAAATACACCTATGTTAACATTTTGCTATTATATTTTTACGAAAAATACCAAAAAACGTTCACACTCAGCGCCACTTTCTTCATTTGTTAAAAAAATCTTTTCCTAAAACCATTATTATGTCAATCGAAGGGCATACAATGAGTAAACAGGGGAAAGTCCTAAAAAGTTTACATTTTGCCATAATTCATTTTACCTTCATAATTTTATTTGCATAACTTATTAACAACTTGCATGGCCTTAGCGAATTTCTCGAAATATCCACCGGGATTTAAATGTTATATCCAATCAATAAAAGAGTTGGGCAGTCTTATTATTTTTGAGGTAAATCTACATTTTCCAAAATCAAATGTTGGTCAATCAGCGTTATAACGATCAATCTTCTGAAATATACATGTACATGTATAGTCAATTCATCTCAACTTGACAATGAAAAATATTGAGCATAATATGCCACTTTAAACGTTATAAAACTCATCATATGTATCTCACCTTTGTGCAATAACGTAATAAGTGCTTCTAAATTTATCAGCAGTTTATCAGTTATTGTACTCAGTTAACGGTATGATCATTCTATGAAAGGAAATATTTCTTCATTTTTGTGCATAATGAGTTTTTAATATTACCATTATATGTACGTGTTTAACACAACTATTACTATCTGGATTGAAAGAATTGTAATAATTTATTTAAGAAAGAATACAAAAACGTTGACACATTTAACGATTGCCATTAAACGGGGTTCTTGCAAAAGCGCATTATCAATATGTCTTTCTGTTGGACTGTCGTTTGCCGCAAATTTGTCGTTTTGCCCATACAACAAACATTGCTCATTATGCAGACTTTATTCCAATCAAGTTGTTAAAAAATCTGGATAAAGTGTGATCCCTCGGAAGCATAAGTCACAACAAATTTCATTAATGTGGCAGACTCGGTTTAATTGAGTCTGCTTATGAGGGATAATGATAAAGAGCAACACCTGTCACGCCCCCTAGCACCGGCTGGAGCAGTACACGATTTTTAACAATTAAAAGTGCTGGAACCAATGATCCGGAAGAACCAGATACAAATATGAAATACAACAACTCTGAACACTAGCAGTTATATTGCCTCGTTTACTAGGTTCCAAATCTTAACGCCAAATATAGAACAACAAATTAAGAATGTATGTTCAGTCCTACATGCCATAATAGTGAGGCACATGTATAGTTTGTGTTTTTATCTTTTTTTCGCAATCCGTACACCAGATTAATGTATTTTGAATGTTCAAGTCCCTCTGACAAATTCCATTGTCATATTAGTGCCCTAATTGACATTATGGGAAGTTCGCCGATGATCCCACAATCATCGGAACGATATCGGAATAAATATTGTGGGGTATACATAAATTAACTTCTTTTATATCGAATATATTGCTGTAAAATTTTACAGATCAAAAAATAATGGGTATATTGTAAATACCGGTAGTCAACTCTGTATCAAAACAACATTTGAATAATTATTATTCATGTGAATGAAATAATATATGTGAAAAAACATCTGCATTTCAACTTTGCTCTAGGTATTGTATACATTTTTATTTCAATATTACCTTAATCAATTGGCTAACCGCGAATTTTTAGACTCGTTTATTTAACAGAAAAGGTGTGACATTGAAATGTACTTAAATGCTATGACTAATTATAACAGAAATAAAAAGATAACAAAGTATATGTGGATCGCGGTTATATGTTTATTATCTCGCAAAATACATGTTATTAGTTTGTTTCAGATAGCATCCAGCCGGAAAATGTTGAGCGTACCATGTTGTCGTCACTTAAAACGTCACCACCACACGTGCTTGGTGGCGCGTGTTTCATACGAACAGACACGTGATCACTTGCAGCTACTTTGATTATAACTACTCCAGTGGACGGGTGAACGCCATTACCAGTAACCGGACCTACATCAGGATCGGATGTCAACACACCAACTGGACCGTTATTGTGATATAGCTCGGTAACGATTTTTCCAGAGACCGGCCAAGCTGTCACTGTCCACGTGAAGACATATGTGCCAGCGTAAGGCACGTCGTAGATGTTATTGTCATGAGAGAATCCGCCGCCGACGTCGACTGGCTTGAAATCAAACGCCAAAGCACTGTCTATATGATAGCAACGTGTGTTGTTCGTGTAAACATGGAAAGCTGCTTGTGGGTATTGACCTGCAAACATTCAGAATACTATGTTTTTTTAAACGACCGACAACATACCATGAAATGTTTTTAGAACGGAAAGAGGTACAAAGAGATTTATTCTTGCATAATTTACTTTTTCTAAGAAACTGTACATTTATCTATACAGTATTTTACGCTATTCAAGGGTAGAATAGTTGGTTGAAACATAGTTTGTTAAATGTTTAATTTACATGAATGAAACAACATTACACTATACTGTGGCTTTTAGCAAATATGTACAGATGCCATCATCTAACAATATTTGCTTATAGTCTAAGCGAATGTTGTTTTTATATCATTTAGAAAAATACAATTAAGAATATCAAAACTCAGAATAGTTCATTAAGAAGTAAAGTTCTAACACATATAATTATTAAGCGAACATGAACTATGCTTTTACTTACTTAGCGCATAATTTCTAATGCTTATTCTTATTAAGTTAATAGTTTAGAAATAAAATAAATGTATACAAACGTTTTTTGATGTTTCTATTAGTTGTAGACGATTGCTCAGTCATCAGGTGGTCGGCATCTCGCACCTGTTTCGTTGCGAAGTTGTTCCGAATTCTATTGGCCCTTGCCAACTTGAGATCTGCAATTTTTCTCTCAAGATCCCGTATACGTGCCTTCAGACCATCTCCTTCCACACGTTGAAGTTTTATGACAGACTCTAGTACTTTGACCCTTTCCTCGTCACTTGCAGCTTCACATACGTTTCCTAACGCAAAACCAATTACCAACCATAAAATCAGCATTATTGCAAAGTGTTTCAGGTCCAATTCTTCCAACGTTTATCTTGCAAGATCTCTTTGTGAGGTTCATTAAGTAATATACTTAGATAAGGATTTGTTTTCTCTCCAAATTTTCTTTAAGCACTTTGGCCTCATTCTTATCTTTGCATCACGTCAGTCTACGTAATGAAGATTTTTTTATATTTAGGCATGCTGCCAATTTTGTAGTTTTGCAAAATGTAATAAATATTTCAAGATATGTAATGTCACCGCGTTGATTAATTTTATATTTATTTTGTTATCTCGACAATTAATGGTAAAATTGTTTGTCATCTTGGGGTCATCATTTTACAATTATTTGATCTAATAGAGGGTTGATACACACTGTTTTACGGATTAATATCTATAGAAGCGCTCTGAGGCGTTTCAAGTCCAAGCCCGATGGGGCTTGGATTAATCCAAAATAAATCCAAGGGGTTCTCGCAAAAAAGATGCATAGGCGCTATATTGTAGCTCTACTATTTGTTACGTTTATAACTCTCTCTCTTGTAGAGAGTAAATCAATTATTCTATAATCTAGTATAGCAAGAAACAACAAAAATTACATCGTAATACATACGTATTTATCTGTATTTGTTATGTTCTAGCATAAGGAATTCATCAGATCTATAGCATTGTTGCTGTATCCGAAAATCTGAAACGAAACTAAAACAGATCTGAATACGTGGTTGCAAAATATTACAAACAGAATAATATCGTGTAACCTGTAAAATATTTAATAACAAGTTATGCTCGTTAAAACAAAGAAAATTCATTAAATTATGCAACTTTAAAAAAGTTATATTTCAAGAAACGATTCGTGTGTGTCATGTGAAGAATAATGTAAAAGCCTAAGTATTCAGCAAGAATGTGTATTAAAATACTTTATTACAAAAACGTTGTTAGAAGGGATGGTGTCGGTTGGGGCGTATTTAAACAAATTCTTGCAACACTACCAAATGCAAGCGTCGAGTGAAGAAAAACCGCGAAAACACTGTCTATATATATATATATATATACACACTATATATATACTCCCACTAACCCACGAAATACACGTGCACTCATAAAAGAAAATATTTAAGGTATCACTCCATATTTAACTTAAGGTACAGAAACCATACATAAACGCTCATTCAAGCTATATCCGATACGAGAATAATTTCATTTTTCTTTTCGTCTAGTCATGTGTGTTTTTTTTTGTATAAAGAATTCGATATCGTTAAGTAATGGATACAGTACGAGTTTTCTTCGAAAGTGTCTTCTTACAGACGTAAGAAGACAGTTTGATAGGATAAACAGCAAATTGTCCAAGGCGAGTTGTTTTCGCACCTTGTATATATCAATGTAGTTTTTTCATAGATGCTCCAATGGGGCATTGGTAACGACCATTCCCAGTAGAAAAAAAAAAAAAAATAAAAAAATAAAAAATAATAAAATATATAAATTCAATAAAAAATATATATACAAAGATAATTAATGAAATGAAATTTACTCTCATTTAATCAAAAGGTACATCCGCTGAATGAATTATTTCCACTGAAAAAAGCCCTTTAACATTAAATCAATCTTGGTAACAGTTTACAGTCCGCCTCTAACATTGGATGTCACAAGTTACTAGAGTAGAACCACTGGGTGACAAATGTTTTGTAAAAACTGCTGCAGGTGCTGATATCATTTTCATTTCATGATATTATCATGCAATTGAACATGAGGTTAGTGGTTCTACTCAAGTAACTTGTGTGCAACAAAACAAAAATCAGTATCACAATCCTCTATAGATCTTAACAGGAATATAAATGTCCATTTTAGCGTTGCCTGCTAAAGAGGGATCACTTTCCCGTCGTCTGTCAGTCTATCTGCCTGTCGGTCTATCTGTCTGTCTGTAACAAAACTTAGCCGGACTACTCTTCAAACATTTCTCGTGCAAATTCATCACATCTTCACAGGAATGATCAGTACCGGGATACAAATGTAGTTGTGTATATCATCCACATTATGGGCCTTGAATGATTTATTTCTAAAGTTTGGCTACAACTTATGCCATTTCAATATTGATCAGTAGTCAAGTTGATGTGCATAGTTAATTCCGCTTGAATGATTTTTAACAAAAGGTGTTTTGGCCTGTTTTTGTGTGTTGCCGGCTACATAAAAGCTTATCCAGACTACTACTCAGGAACTACTGGTGCAGTTTCATTCAAACTTTACAGGAAAGATCCGTACAAAGTCTAATTACACACGTCAATGGCATTTTCGTTCAATGGGTTATGGCCCTTTAATGATTTTTTTTATTCTGGGCTACTTCTCTTATACTACTAATGCAAATTGAATGAAACTTTTCGGAACGAGGATTAAAGCAAAAAGGGTATATCTTCGTTTCTATGAAGACTTTCAGATAATAATTTACGCTGAAGTCTTGTGGGCATCTGTTTTAGGTTAGAATGCACAAAACTTCACCAGAATCGATGTTTTCAATGTTAAATTTGGTCCGGAGAGAAGTTGTCTCCAATTTTCCAGCTACCCCGAGTGACTGCGTCGCACGGTATTTCCATCAAATTGTCCACCAACAGGCAATATCTTTACATGTGCATACTCGGAAAACACATCGCTAGCTAACTGCATTCCGATATTTTACATAAATGTCTGTAATCTTCAAATATTATGAAAAACTCGCCTTGTTTATCGTGTCACACGTCAAAGATGGGTGCTCACAACGAGGAACGGAAGTTGCTCACAACATTTTTACCGATGGACATTTTACACTCGTTGTGAGTTAAACGGGCGTGGCTATTTTAGTCGGATCTATTCTGGGAATGAGGGAATGAACTGAAAATTTGCACACAAGTTATTAGCCCAGACCTTCATCAAATTGCATATCAATCTCGGAAAAATGTTCCCAGTCCCGACACATAAAAAAGCAGTTGAGTCCTGCTTAACTGCAACATGCAAACGACAAATCTGATCGTTCTTGTTTATTAATAACGAGCATTGCAAAATGATATGAGTTTAGGCATAAGACGTCACATATGTCACTGTAAAAAGAGCAAAATGGGGAAGTGGTGCTCTTCCTGAGTATTTTGTTAATAAGGGAGGTAGATCTGCATTGCACTCTAGACGTTTGTACCATGTGGAGTTGTCTCCCTTATAGGTTAAATTATACATGTACAATGTTGAAGAAAAAATCCAGAACAGTAAAACCGTTTCTGTGTTTTAGAAAGTAACTTAGTTATAAAAACTTATTGCTAACATGGACAGGTCTTATAATTGATTATACATGTATATTGTATATTGCCGTTCAGCAGGGTCAGAAGCTCGCTTAGAGGGGAGATACTGCTCATACACAAAATAGCGCGAAATTTAACTACACAATAACTGTGGGATGTTACATATTTCTGCCGTTTCTGGTTTTTCTGTACGAAATCTGCCGTGGTCATAGTATTATTTTTACAATAGGTTTATCTCTTAGATTTGGTTCGCTCAATTGCTAATCATGGTCATGCAACTACATAGTTAGGTGAAGAAGCAGGCGCTTGTTTTAGTTGAGTCTATTATGTTTTGTTTAGGGGGTTGAGTTGTCATACACAAATTTACAATTTATATGCATTATTTTTTACCAATGATTGTTATTATCTTAAATGCTTCTGGGATTGTTGTTTTATCAATTCATTTGTAAATAAGATTGTTATATGTCTATTAACGGAATAATTTTAATGAACACGAAATTAGTTCACACCTACATGTGTATTGGTAACGTGATGGTTTAAGCCAATGAAAACACGTCAATATTATTTAACTCAGGCAGAGAAGAGTAAAGAGTAAATCGATAATCTTTATGTAGCCAGCAAACTTTGAATTGCAAGTATTTTTTTTATATCTTTTCGGCAGAATAAACTTTTCGAGGATTCGTATCGTAAAATGGCTGCCATTTACAGTAGCAAGTGATTATCCCAAGCACCACCGCGACTTAACGCGGGAATTTTAATTATAGCCAACCTCGGCGCGTATACCTTTTTCATATTTTATTGTAATAAATATTTACAAACTGTGTCTTTCGGGTTTTTTTTTATCAATATATAACCAATAATGAGGTTAATATGAATAAATAATCATATCTCAAATCTTTGACTATGATTTACAATGAAATTCTACCTTAAGTGTATTAAAAAGGTTTTTAATTTTCTGTAATTTTATTTTGTAATTATGCTTCAAAGCAGTCAATTGACCGTGAATTTTCTTTCCATATTTTGATTTCCTTGAAATCATTTTTCTCATCTGAAAGCATGCAACTTTAATATGGTGATACATTAATTACATTCCATGAAAATTTAAAGATATAAAATATCACATGACATATTTGTTCATTTTACATTACACCTTTAATTCAGCAAACATAAAGTCTTCACAAAAAGTAGTATGCAATCGTACCTATATTACATACGAATGTATGTAATATTTTTCTTGTATACCAATACATTCAGTTCTGTTTCTCAAGTTACCGTCAACTTCTTCTTCTTGAAAGGCTGTCCTTTTTGCTTAAAGCTATATATCTGATGCAAAAAAATATTGTTTGGATTTAAAAAAAAAATGCTTCCAAAATTATTGTGTGAAAAAAATGGCAATAAATTGCCTTATAGCGAGTGGCGCCAAATAAAAATTAAAACTTAAAATAGCCAGAAAATATTTTGTTCCGGAACAATTTATTATGTGTACGTACATTTTATGTTACAACTGTTATATAATAACCAATTTAATTTTACTGTTGATTAATTTTATAAAAATACTTCATAAGATATAGATTTATACCCTTTAAACATGGGCATCATGCAAACTATTTCAACATTGCCATGAGCTTCCCCCTTTAAAAGCTTAACGTTATTGTCGATTGAATACTAAGTTTAATACTAAGTTTTATATTGAACCTGAAATGTATTAAAATGATAGCAGAATTTCCAAGACAATTGCAGATTGGAACGGTTTTAATCACTTAGAGACGGAAAACGTTCATTTGCCCACTCGGTCTTGCCCCTAGACATCCGCCCCCTTTTGGCAAGGACATTTGC